ATAATCATAAATGAGTCCTGAATGCTAGTTTTTAGCTGAGTATGTTTGTTTACAGTTTAGATGTTTTCGATAATTTGATGTATTTTAATTACAATTTAATTGCTTTTAATGTATACTGTATTGTTTTTACAGTGGTACTTCTTTTACGAACTTAATCCGTATTGGAATGGCGCTCATACGTCGAAAAGTGTGTAAGTTGAGGCAAAATTTCCCATAGGAAGGTACTGAAAACCATTTAATCCCTTCTGGCTGTTCTTCGTTCTTATGTTGAGGTGCTGTTCGCAAGTAGAGGCATTAGTTCCCATAGGAACTAATGCAAAGCTGGTTAATCTGTACTAGGGGGAGATTTTTAAATTATTTTTTCTTCTTTTGACCTAAGATGAACTTAGGTCAAAAAAGGGCAGGAAAGTTTTTTTTTCGTTCGTAAGTTGAGGCTCCATTCGCAAGTCGAAGCAAAATTTTGCAAATGGAGCCATTCGTAACTTGAAATGTTTGTAAGTAGAGACATTCGTAAGTCGAGGTATCACTATAACTACTACTACTTCTATTATTATTATTATTATTATTATTATTATTATTATTATTATTATTATTATTATTATTATTATTATTATTATTATTATTATTAAAGTACTGTGAGGGCCCTGAGAAATTATCTCTTAGTCGCAGTTACCTGTGGCAAGCAATGTTCCCTCTAATTTTCTGCCAGTGCTGGACAGGTGACCGCCCCATGTGCACAGGTTCCCACCCATGACTGGGCAGCAACTGATGCAGCATTATGTGGTCACTGGCCACTCGACTGCACAGCTTAGAATGAACGTAGGTGGCAACTTATACAAACCTCATGCTAATATCAACAGCATTCTAGCCAATAGTTAGTCAGAGCCAATCTTATTATAAGTGCAGCAGTGTGTCCTTGCGCCCCACAAATACTAACTAAACTAAGTGATTCTCATTTCACTTCCTTCCAGGAAACTTATTCTTCCTCAATGCTGCCTAGTAACTTCTTGTGTTGCCTTAATCAAGTAAGAATGTTCTTAACATATATGATAGGTACACATATGGAGCATACTCCTACATACTAGCAATTAGCATTCAAATATGAAGGGAGTCAGACAGCTCCATGTTTCTCCAATGAATTGTGTTGATACGGCTCTAACTCTACAGTACAGTGGCTGACCTTACATATATGTTCGGGTAGTGTGGGCGGCATATAAGTTAAATAATTAAATAAATATTTTTGTCACACTGGACTTCTTCAAGAATATCAAAGGACTCAATAGCAGGTTCCAGGCCCTTCTGGGCATGGAGGACACTGGGTATCCTAGACACCTTCAAAATGTGATGCTGGAAAAGAGATTAATGGATACCATGGACTGCCAGCAAAATAAGTAAATGGGTGCTAGATCAAATCAGCATTGAGCTGGCACTTGAAGCTAAAACAATG